TAATGCAAAGAGTATTTGACTAAAACAAAAATAGCAGGAAGCAGACCACCCTGTACAAATAAGTAGCAAGTAATTTTATGTGCTTCCAACTTCTTTTTATATTTTTCTACTACTTGTTAATGATATCATGATAATTAAAGACTGTATTTGGTGTACCCTTTATCGTAGGTAAAAATAAAATATGTACTTCATTTCCTTTAGCAATTGCAGTAAGTATTGTAGAATACTTTTTACAATTTAGAGAATGAAACATAAAAAAAGTATCTTTTAATTATGTTCTTTTATTAACATATATTTGATAATGAAGTTACTGCTATAGTAGTTATATTTAAAGTAAATGTTATTTGCACTATATTTAATTGGCGCTATATAATTAATTTCAGTGTGCTCTGGTTATAGTTGATTAATTGCTTTGATTACAGGGTGGTCAAAAAACAGATGATAAGAATACGATTGAATCCGAGGGTGTTCAGAAAACAGAGAATGCGACTGAGCAATCAGAGCAAATGGAGCTAACGGAGGAGATCCAGCCTTCCAGCAAACAGGCACAGTCTTAAGCTTCAGGCTACTCCTCCTATATAGAATTGAACAGTCGAAATTACACAAGTATTCTGTTTTCAAACTTCAGAACGATTTGATTCCTTCTTATTCTAATATGCAGTATATTGAACATACTGCTCTTGAAATATCTGTATCATTTTTAATTACAAAATTTGTAATCCGTTTTTTTATCATTTGTAAAATATCATTATGTTGCAATATAAGTTCATAATTAGCATTTATATTATAAGTGCATGCTATCAAACTATCGTGATAAAATACTTTGAGAAGATAGAATTCAGTAACAGATATTCTCTCATTTCTAGTAATACTTATATAAAAACTAAACTGTTTTTTTTTTCTCTTAATTCATTAGTACATGTTTATAAGTGTAAAATTTTGTATATTTCTTACATATTTTCATGTTAGTGGTATCAAATATCTATAACTTCTATTTACAAGACATAAAAAAATAGCTGGCCGTTGATAGTTCTATTATAAAGCTCTTTAATTGCTCTTTGGATAGTATACAGTGCTGCAAGCTATAACATTCCTAATCGAAAATATTATGAAATCTTTAGAAAGCCCTGAGATATATTTAATAAAATATGTTCTATTGGATCTAAAATAAGATTTGCTTAATAAACCAAAACTAAATGTTTTTTTCATAGCTTATAGCTCTGTATCAAAATATGACAATTTTTGTAATTGTTTGTTATTATATGTCGTAGCACTGAGTACATTTTACTAATTTCAATGATACATAACTTCCACGAACTATAAATTCAGAACAAAATAAATTTGTAATTAAGATGCGTATTGTAAGAATAAATCGTATTTCTATAAGTTCTAAATCTGGTGTCCCCAATTACTCTATAAACCATTATAAAGGTAATTTTTTGCATGTGTTAAACAATCGTTCTGAAATATGAAAATGATTTTTTTAGATTTTCTGTGCCAAATGACTTTCATAAAAGTATTGTCTTCCTGAAATTTTTATCAATGATAATAGACTTTATACTATTGTACAAAATGAACATATACCATCTTTAATTACTATCATACAATAAGTAAATTTATCAGATTAATAGTATTCAATGTATTACTTCAAAATAATTTACAATAAGAATTTACTATACCATCTAAATTTAAATTAAGATTTTTAAAATCTTCAATTAAATCGTATACTAAAAACTATAATATCTACATACTTGTAATTTACAGTATTTACTGCATACAATACATTATGATTATCATAAAATACTTGTTTAAAAAATTATAAACAAGATTTAATCTAATATTAACGATTCGTTAAAAAAAATGGCAAAAAATCTGTTTTTGTGATATTTCTATAAACTTAAGTGAA